CTGTTCCCTCCACGTCCCTCTAATCCCAACCCCCTCTCCTTCCATTAAGACTCCCTGCGCTCTGCCCAATACACGAACTATTTTAAAAATTGGTATGGCAAGGCACACCTTTAATCCGAGCGCTCAAGAAGCAGAGGCAGGCAGATCTCTGTGAGTTCCAGGACAGGCTGGTCTATAGTAGGCCAAGTTCCAGGACAGCCAGGGCTGTTACACAGAGAAACCCTATCTCGAAAAATAAAAATTAGTGACCCCTCTTCACTTAAAACTTCCCTGCTCCCCCAATAACTATGAGGTTGGAGTCAAATGCTGACTGTGCAGGGGGGAATAACTGCACCAAAGGAAACGGCCTTTGTGCTCAGCTGCTGCCAGACTCTCCTATGTAGTTAGCATGCCTTGTGGGGAGTTTGCAGGGCAAACACAGCAGACACATACGCAGATGGAGAAGGCGAACGGCTTACAAAGGAGAATTTGAGGAAGAGAGGTTCCCATCTGTGGTAGCTTTTCAAAGCTGCTAGGCCTTTGTTCGGGACATTCCTTTTTTTTTTTTTTTTCTCCAAAGGAAGTAATTAAAGACTAGATAACAGTAGCCAGCATGGTTAAGTAAAATACTTAGAAAAGCTGTGCAGTCCATCGCATTTCACTAGCTTGTGAGAGGGACTTGGCGTGCAGGGAATCGGCTCCTCGGGTATCGGGGTTATCTGTGGGTTTGCTTAGCAACTGCTTTGGGTTGGCAATTGTTCAGTTGGCTGTAATTTACCTCAGAACTAGCGGTTGCCTGCATATCTGGAATCCTTGAGAGCATCTTGTTTTCTCATTGCAAAATCTTTATATCAAAGAAAAACATATTGCTTCCAAATGTAGTGCAGGAAAACCAGAATACAGAAATAAGATGGAAAACAAAGTACCTAAAATTTCCTGAATCTCAAAATGATGACTATTACTGTTTCTGTTGTTGATTTTCCAGACTTCTTGTTCTCTGTAGCCTTCTGCATATAAACCATATAAACACCTATGTTTAAAATGTGAGTTTAATGGGGCTGGGGAGATGTTTGTGGCTTCTAATCTGATGATTTTGAATAGCGCTGCTGGGAGTAGTTTTGAAGAAGAGTTGCGTTTCCCGTGTCATGATTGCAGGGATTCTTTTAAAGCCAGAGTGTAACACAGAAGAGAGTCAGAGCGATGCTTCCATGTTCTTAAGAAAATTTGCATAGTTTTACTTCCTCCCATGGAGCTACTTGCCAGCGAGAGCTACAAAAGCGTGGTGAAACATCTGTGGGGGTCAAGTTCAAAAGCCAGTGGGTTGTTCTAGGGACCCTATGGGTTTGTTTGCACTGTGTAGGGTGAGCTACGGTGAAGAGAAAAACTCAACTGAACTTGCTACTTATTAACTCTTTTGCTGTCCTCACAAGCACCTTTTCTTTTTCCTCAAAAGGAAACTTAGCGGGTCATGCAGTTACTGGATTCCTCCTTCCTTCCGGCCTCTCCCCTTTTGTGACACTCCTCACTATGACTCACTTGGCTCTGGGACTGCCCCAGCCTACTGTGAACATGCAGAAGTCTTTCTCCCAGGCTATTCTCCTCAGACACAAATGTCAAGGCTGAGGCTCTCTGCCATGGTACAAACACAGTAGATAAGTAACTATAACGAATACCACCTCGGAGCAGTTTTGGCCGGCAGATTGTTGAACTGGTTTTAAATGAAAAACTTTTGGGGATGGCATCAGTATCATGTCAAAGTACCCACAGAAGATTAACAGAACCTGAGTTCATTCCAGATTTCTGCCCAGATGCAGAGAAAAAAAATAGCCCAAAAGAGACAGAGTAAACTCATGCACTCAGTTGGCTAGGACACTGTGGTCTGGTGCCCTGTGGCTAGCAGCTAAGTTCTTTTTCATAAACACATCAGCATTGAGCAAGGCGGTGCCTCTGTCTGAAATTTTACATGCTTTGTGTCTCCTTGACTTTCATGCATCTAGTAAATCTAACTCACCATGAGACACACACCCTGAGTATGCCTTCAATGAGGAAAGACCCACCAAGCCTTTATCAGCACAGAAACACTGATGTCACCCCACAGGCAGCTGCTGTTCCAGTGTGGCCGATCTGCCTCCCCTGTTTTGGGACTTCACATAAATGGAATCAGTGGTTTTCTGTAAGACTTCGTGGAGTTGACAGAGGCCTTCCATTCATTCCATCCATGTTGTACACCTCAGCCATCCATTCTGAGTTGTGTTCCACTTTGTAACCCTTCTACTGTTTGAGCTGGGTTTTTATCAGGGGTGTGTTTCTCTCTCTCTCTTTTTTTTTAATTGATGACAACTATTTCAAGTGTACTCTTCTCAGAGGAGTAAAAGAGGAGTAGAGATACTTCCTTTTTTTCCCCCCTCTTCTTCCTACTCAAAATGATGCCAAGGATTCTGCTGGATTAATACCCAGGATTCTTATCACAGAGTAGGAGCTGAATAAACACTCACTGAACGAATCAAGGAAAGAACTAATGAACCGCCTTCTAGTCTTGATAATCTAGACGTGGCCATCTTGGCTTGATGACCTAGCAAAGACGGAACGAGATGTGAATGCTCTCCTTGAATTATAAAGTGACTGGTGTACCCTCTAGTTCAACCCTCGTCTAGCTCATAGTGTGCTGGGACCAGAGCCATCACTTGTCTTCACTTGTAGCCATTACTTGCAGCATCAGAAATATTCTCTTTTGAAGACACAGGTAGCTAACATGGCTGACATCCCCTCTTACCCTGGGTCGTGGTGTCTGCAGCCTCTTGTGCTGGGGTCGACAGTGAATACTGGCCAGCAGCACAGCATTTGGGTGGCTTTTTGTCATTGACAGAACATATTTGCTTCATTATCCATGTCAACCTCTCTCTACCTGTCGCCTCCTTTGGCTTTTTAACTTCTAAGGGAGATACAGAAAAGAGCTCTGCACATAAATGTTGCCTCCAAGCAGCCCAGACTTTTCTAGGATCCTCGAGGACTCATGCTTTCTTCACTCTGGTGGGTCTAAGAGTGTGTGAAGCGCATGGAGGGGCCAGAAGGGTGGCTCGGTGGAATAAAGTGTTTGGCATGAAAACCTGAGGAACAGAGTTTGGGTCCCAGCACCAACATGAAAAACTGGGTACCCCTTGCCCAAGCTCAGGAAACACTGCAGAAGAGGAAGCAGGAAGGATGGAAGGCTGGAAGATTGGGAGGTAGAAAGCTGTCTTTTAGACATGGGGATAGCACTCATGAACCCGTGACAGCTCTGATTACCCACACTACATCAAGGCAGCCAATATGGGGGTGCGGAGGGAGGGTGGGAGGGCTCACACGGCCCCACCCCTAACTGCAGAGCCATTGGCTATGGACAGCTGCTAAGGGAGAAGAATCTTTCACCTTTGGGGATGTGGATACTTGTCTGTGGATGACCCCAGACCCATGTACATGAGGGCAGCACTATGTGAATGGAGTGGGTTATTAAAAAAAAAAAAGAGGACATGAGTCGGGAGGTGGGTGTGTTGGGAGTGGATCGAGGGGGTTTGGAGGAGGGAAATGTGGATGGGTATGATACTTAATTGCATACACGAGTGACATTCTCAAAGAGTATTTAAATAAAATAAAAAGCTGGGCGTAACAGTACATACATGTAATCTCAGGGCTAGGGAGACTAAGACAAGAGAATTCTGGATCCTGAGCTCCAGGTTCAGTGGAAGAGCTTATCTCAGAAATAAACAGAAAGTGATGGAGGAAGACACCCAGCATTGATCTCCGTCCTTTACCCATGCACAGCCCCCAACACACACACAAAGAAAGAGACAGAGATTTACAGTTTGGAAATTACTGTATCGTAGACATACATGAGTAGTCCCAAATCTGTTAATCTGCCAGATTATGTTTATAAAAGTTCACCCCAAACTGTTTGCTGGCTCATTTTACCTTTCTTTGATTATCCATCAGACATCTCACCTTCTGGCCTGACAGTCTGTGTGACCTGGCTAGGCTGATGTTATAATAACACAGATGCAGATGTGTGAGGTGTGAGATGGCCTCCATGCCTTGTAACTGGTACATTTTCATTTCTGCTGGCATTTTGGAAGGTGACAATGTTCACACGTTGACCTTGGGGAAGTAGAAAAAAAAAAACCCACAAAATTTAGTTCCTTTGAGACAGCGGCCAATGTGCTTTAAGACTAACCTCTTACTGCTCACCAAGCTAATTTGCTTTCTTCTCTTTTTGAGACATTTCATACTATAGCATAGGATGATCTGAAAGTCATTATGCAGCCCAGGCAGGCCTCAAATTCCAGGCAGCCCTTCTGCCTCAGCCGCCCAAGTACAGGGATAACAGGTGTGAGCCGCCACAGCTGGCTTTGTCTTTAGTAAGCCTTTACCGTGCCACCCGGCTCCATAGGGACAGGGTAGGTCACAGCCCTACTAGAATTTCCCCCCACCCCATGCTGCTGGAGTATTTGGTTGTTCCGTGTTTAATCCTACAGGAGGTGGGAGAACAAGCATTTACAGAAACAGACATTTCCCTCTCCCCCTCCCCATAAGGGGTTCCCAACTTTAACTGCCATGGAATCCGAGCTAAGACAACATCCAAATAGTCTTAATTTGAATAGTCTGAAAGGAGTGTGGGGGTTGTTCTAAAGGCAGGGTTTGTCTCTAAACTAGTAAAATTAATAACTGCTGCTCCATTTTCCAGAAAAGGAGATGCAGTTGAGGAGACCAAAGCCATAATTCTACTAGTTGTATATCATGAGTCAATATCTCAAAATTAATTGTTTTGTGGAAACAAAAATTCTCCTGGTTTACATGTAGGTAACTAAATGGGATGAAGGAGGCTCAAACCCGGGAAGATGAGGGCGGGACCTTTTCAAATACGTTTCATAGAAACTGTTGTATACTGCAACTCTGCAATTTCAAGTTAAAATGAGTGTAAATGTTCTGTGTAAAGCATACACATTTTCTTAATCAAATATTATGTGTGATCTTATCTTGTTTTGTAGGACCAGCAAAAATCCACCAATGTGGTCTACCAGGCCCATCATGTAAGCAGAAATAAGAGAGGACAGGTGGTCGGAACCAGGGGAGGATTCCGAGGATGTACCGTGTGGCTAACAGGTATGAGCGCACACATATGCACACACACACATGCACACACACACACACATATTTTTCAAGGAACTTTTTTTTTAAATCAGAAATTGACGTGTGACATGATTTTAAGGAGCGCAGTGTGACATATGACACCTAGAGGTGTTTATTGGAACCTTGGAGGAAGTGGAACTGAGAGCTGTGCAGACACAGGGCTGTTGGCCATCACCCTATCCATGAGAACTGACACGCTGCGAGAGATCACTAATTATCAGTTACCGTTCTATGGCAGCACAAGATGAGATAATCGGATTGCGACACCTTCTTTCAGCTCCTCATGTTCACCCTTGAATGAATTTCCTGCCACGACAACTGTGCTTTTCCTAATCTGACACTGAGTGTTTGGCAGTCTGTCAGGTTATGGATGTTTAAGGCCTGTTTCCTGATGCTTTGGTGTTCTGGGGGCCTATTTCATTGAGGAACTTAAGAATCTGTGAGAATGACTACTGGAACGCTCATCTTGGCAAAGGGTTGTCCGTTGCCTGTAGGAACAACTTGGTACCATGGAGATGACCCGGTGAATGTCCCCTTTCTTATCCTTTTTGAACCACGGGTTCCAAAGCTAGAGTTTAGCAATGAATTTGCCAGTTAGGCCTTAAGAACCCTGATAAACCAGCTCTGGGCTCTTACCTGACGTAGAGAGTTGATACAGTCAGGACATAGAACAGGAAACTCTTTTGTAGATAGGACTTTCCTAAAAAGGGAGGAGCCCAGAAACAAAAGCATGTTGATTTGGGCCGTGGGAGGCATGTGTGCTATTTTCTGCTCACACAGGAAAAGGTCTAATCGGAGAGCATCTGGGAAGAACGTGGCGCTGGAGGACCTGCCTCCAATGTTTCCTGGTTGTTTTCTGTTTGTTGTTATTGTCCACTTGGACTGTTTTTGGTTTCTGAGACACGGTCTGGCTTGTGAGACAAGCCCAGGCTGGCCCAGAATGCACAAGGTCTGCCCAGGCTGGCCCAGAATACACAACCCCCCTGCTTTAACCTTTCAGTGCTGGGATCCTAGGGCTGAGATACACACCCAGGTTTGTTTTGTTTTTATTTTGTTTTCTTTTTCTTTTTCTTCTTCTTCTTCTTCTTCTTCTTCTTCTTCTTCTTCTTCTTCTTCTTCTTCTTCTTCTTCTTCTTCTTCTATTCTTGAATTTTGTTCTGGCACCTGTGGTTTCCTGGTTTCGTTCACAGCTGGGATTTGCATCAAAACAAGGTCATTAGTCAGACAATGGACATGGAAGTCTACATGCCAAGATGATGAGCCCCAAGTGCCACTAGGATAGGCTTGGGTGTTGTTATGCCTGCTGTGGTCCCCTAGCTCCCTCTGTGAGGCGCTGTTTGTAGCAGCAGACACCTGTATTCCCACAGCTTCTGCTTGCTTTCCCCAGCTGTTTACTAGGGAAGTTCACTTTTGTGTTGAGGCAGACACATAAAGTTCATATTCCCTAATGTGCACACTCTTTTAAAAAGGAAAAGAAAAACTGGCAGGTCTGAGATGGGGGAAACGCGAAGGGTTTATTTCCTCTGACCTTTCCTCCTTTCACCTTTCCGGACTTTTTATTTTTGTCTCTGTGCCTCAGAGGTTCGACATCAGCCACGCAGACCGAAAGGAACCAATTATTCCAGAGGCTCAGATTTGAGAACCCAGTCCACCCACATCAGCCGTGTGGCTTCACACAAGTCACTTAGCCTCTCTGAATCCCAATATCATTGCTTATAAAGTGCTAAGGCGGATTAGAACCTGCCTCATGGGCGCCGTAGGTGGAGCTAAGTGAAATAAGGCATCAAGGCGCTCAGCCCAAAGTCTGTCCCCTGCCGCCCGCACAAATACAGTGCTACTTCAGCATATCCCAGGCTGGGCTACATGCTGACCAGGAGTGAGGCGAGGCCTTTGTTCTCCAACAGGCAAATAGAAGAAAATTAATTTCATTATGCAGATGCAAGAGAACATATAGAGAGTCAGGGTTCCTATTTTCCATCACCTACAAGCTGACATAAATTTTAAGAAGACTCTAAAACTGAGATCTATTCAAAAGAAATTGTGGGGATTCGGTAAAGATTCCTAGAACCTTCCACAGCCATGTTTTCAAGCTCCCCCTGTCAGAGTTAAGAGCATGGCTTTAAAATGAGACTGTAAACCTGGGGACTATTCATTTACACTTGCAGATTTCCTTCCTTCCCTCTTCATGGTTCCTTGCCCCTGAGCTTTGTTCCAGCTTTGTTCCATTTTCTACACACACACACACACACACACACACACACACACACACACACACATACATGAGCACACTAGCGCGTAAGAACACACACTTATCTTCTCTGTGTTTTTATTGGTTTCTTGCCTTTTTTTTTCCCCCTTTCTTTCTTTCTCTCCCAGTTTTCCCATTTCCATGTTGAGTTCTGTGAGGCATCAGCCTTGCATCTTGGAATATTCTTCAGGCTCAGATATTTAGGACAAGTGAATTGCGACAGTACAAACTTTCTGGGGTAGGTCAGCCCTTAGATAATTTGTTCTTCTCTCTCTGTGTGTGTCTCTCTCTCCTCTCATGTTTTCCTTACCTAGAGAATTATATCATGACCTAATCATGCTTATGGAATGATAAGTGTTGCGTCTTGACTCCATTTTTATGTACAAACACGAACTGTCTTTCGGTCAGTGTGCCCATGCACCTGAGAGCTCAGAAACGCCTCAGCCGATGTGTCTGATGCCTGGTGGCTGTTCAGCGGAGTCCACAGGGAGGTGGGCTAGTCTTCTGGGTGCCGGTCCCCCTGTCCTCTAAGTGCTACCAGAAGAGGCAAGGCTGATGTCACTGCAGCTTTGATTTCTCAAGAGTAGCCAGCACCTCAATTTTCACCAACACCTTTCTAATCTTTAAAATGTTAGCAGGCAAAACAGCACAAAACAGTCCATGACCACAGGTCTCCCTATTTACAAACCCAGTTGCTCCAAAAAACTTCCAAAATATAAAATAAATGCAAGTACTAAGATTTTGTACTCTTTCTGGATTTTAACAGTATTTTTTTTAAGGCTGGAGTGTTATCATAAGAGTCTATGTATGTTGTGTATTATATGTTTTTCACATATAAAAAAACAGGTTACCTCGTGGTTTTTCATCCTTTGAGAGACTTTGGTTTAATTGGGATAAGGCTTTCCTGGAGCAGAGGCTAGCCCTGAACTCCCATTTCTCTTCTCTTGACCTCACCAGCACTAGGATTATAGGCCTGCGCCACCATTCCCAAGTTGGTCACTTTCCATCTTAAGTCTGTCCTTCCTATTCTCAACAGGTCTCTCTGGTGCTGGAAAAACAACCATAAGTTTTGCTTTGGAGGAGTACCTTGTATCTCACGCCATCCCTTGTTACTCCCTGGATGGGGACAATGTCCGTCATGGCCTTAACAAGAACCTGGGATTCTCTTCTGGGGACCGGGAAGAGAACATCCGCCGGATCGCTGAGGTGGCCAAGCTCTTTGCTGACGCTGGCCTGGTCTGCATTACCAGCTTCATTTCTCCATTTGCAAAGGTAAAAAAATTGGCCTCCCTCGGCTGTGGCCCTCAGCCAGCGGAACTAGGGGAGACCGGAGGGCCACCAGCCTTCCACTTCCCCACCCATTGCCCCTCTCCTCACGGGTCCCTTCATTCCCTTCATTTGCTGTTGGTTATGTAAAGACGATTGCCTCATTGCCAGAAGCCAGTAACCCAATTGACACGAAGCCTTTATGGATGACCAGGAACATGTGGTCAGAGGTGAAAGAGTTGAGCAAGAACTCCACAGCCCGTATTTCAGTCTTTGGAACAAGATGTTTAGCTGGCCCAAACAGAGCAGCCCAGCGCTGGCTTCTGTGGGCTTAGCGGGGACAGCACTGACCCGGGTGCCCCAAACTTCTAAAGCAGAAAAGTTTCTAGCAAACCTTTTCCATGCTAAGAGCACAGCATTGCTAAGGGGCCTGTGTCCCGTAGCTGGCTCTGGAAGTTCATCAGACAGTGTGCTTATCAGAGTGACATTTCTGGGCTTTCTGAAAGGACTCTGCCGGGCTACATACCTCATGTTACTGGAAGGTTATCAAGTCCAAGAGTACACTGTGTTTTGCCATGAAAAAAAAATATCTCATTGGGAATATTTGTCCTCATCCATTTTCTCTTCTAACAAAATGCCAGACCTGATGATTTATAAAGATTAGAGGTTTATTTGGCTCATGTTGTTGGAGGCTTTGGGACCGAAGGGCGTAGTGTCATCTGGTGAGAGCCTCATACAGGATTTTATTTAAAAAAAAAAAAAAAAAAAGAGCAAGTGTCAGGCTCACTGGGCCCACTCCTCCACCCCACCCACATCCCCCAGGCTTGGCCATGAACTTGTGGATCCTTGAATCTCTTGACCCTTGGCTTCTGCTTCCCTAAGTGCTGGGTTTATGGGTTCTGTTTATCCGTTTAAACACACTGTTTTCCAGGATCGTGAAAATGCCCGAAAAATCCACGAATTAGCAGGACTCCCGTTCTTTGAGATCTTTGTGGATGCGCCTTTGAACATCTGTGAAAGCCGAGATGTAAAGGGGCTCTACAAGCGGGCACGAGCAGGAGAGATTAAAGGTATAGGGCGCAGCCAGCAGCACCTTTGACAGTCGCTGGCCCTGCCAGTCTTCCGATTCTGCTTTCGGAAATCTGCTTTCGGAAATGCTACGTGCTCTGTGTCCCAGTTGCAGAAAGCACACGCTTAAGAAAGCGCAGAGAGTTCAGGGTGGACAAGGGCTTGCTTCGGGGTTTGTCTCTGAAGAACCGTCTCCTCAGGCAGGAGGAATGACATTTCAAGACAGTCACATACAACTGAGACTGGATTTAGAAACGGGTCTCATTGAACTTCTTCCTGGCTTTCCTTTTGAATTCTAATCAGTGGTAGAAGGCTTGGCTTTTTGCCAGACATCATCACTAACTTGAGGTTTTCCATATTGAAAATACGGCTGTGTCTTCCTGACGTACAGCAAGAGGCTCAGGAACGGCAGTTAGAGCTTTTCAGTCGTAAAATCGCATTTTCAGCTTAACACGTGGTACAGTGTGTCTTCTGCCTTACTGACTGACAACATTCTTCCACGGGCGCAGAGATGATTCAGATCTTATGCCCTGCAGGGTTTACAGGCATCGACTCTGATTATGAGAAACCCGAAACTCCAGAGTGCGTGCTCAAGACCAACTTGTCCTCAGTAAGCGACTGTGTGCAGCAGGTGGTGGAGCTTCTGCAAGAGCAGGTAGGACGGTGGTTCTCGCTCCTGCATGCAGTGTGTGTGTGTGTGTGTGTGTGTGTGTGTGTGTGTGTGTGTGTGCGCGCGCACGCGAGTGTGCATGCCTGTGAGTGAGTGCGCGTGCGTGTGTGTGTGTGTGTGTGTGTGTGTGTGTTGAAGGATAACCCGAGTTTCTTTGCTAAAATTCCCCCTTCACCGTTCTTCATTTGCAACTATTGCCAACTCCAATTTCATTGCAGAACATTGTACCCCACGCCACCGTCAAGGGCATCCACGAACTCTTTGTGCCAGAAAACAAAATTGATCAAGTCCGAGCTGAGGCTGACTCTCTCCCGTCACTATTAATAACCAAGGTAAGAGTACAGACTGGCTGACTTGGCTTTCGTATCTAACATTATAAACTGCTACACGATTTCGTCTTTAAAGCCATCTTTATTTTCTGTGTGTTTCTCCCCACTGCCCCCAACCCTTGTGTGTGTGTGTGTGTGTGTATGTGTGTGTGATAGACTACATGAGTGGAGTCAGAGGACAACATTTGGAGTCAGTTTTGTTCTTCTTTCCATTGTGTTCAGGAATCAAACCCAAGTTATCAGTTAGCAGGCTTGGTGGCAAGCACTTTTACCCACTGAGCCATCTTGCAGGCCCTACAATTCCTGTGAACGTAAGAAATATCGGGTAAAAGTGAATCTACAGAGACGTTTCCCCACCTCCTCACCTCCTCTCTGAGCAAACTTCTCACAAAGGCCAGGTAGAGATGCCTACTGAAAAAAACAGCAACCATATTTGCATAGGACAATTTGCATAGCTCCCCAACGCCTTCATTTATGCTGAAATAGAGGCACCATGCCAGGAATGGTTTGTTAACAATGGTTGAGAAAGTTTGTCCAGAATGCGAACACTTCTTGGCGATTGAGAAGGAATGGGGGTTAGGAGGGTGACAGAACAGATGTCCCTGATCTAAAACAATGAGGGCTTTTCTGCTGAGTATCTGCTGGTTCTGTTGATATGTGCAAGTCCACGAAACCCCAGAAAGTGGTGCTGATCCTGGCTGGATGCCACTCTAAACCCAAAGTTATTACCATAAAGAGACTGCTCCTGTGCCTAGAACTGATTGCCGCCTCTGCAAAATGACAGCCACCACAGGCAAGAATAAAATAACCAACAGGACAAAGATAAGTCTTCTGGGAAAGTTTATAACCATAATCAGCTCTCACCCCTCAAGGGATTTTGTGCATATCCTCTTGGATAAAGCTGTCATCAGCAAATATGTCCCGAGAGACCCAGATCTGAAGTGCAAAGCCATATGGGAGACCACAATCAAGTGTGAAGACTGCAAGATCCAAGATAAGCAAGAAAAAGTGGTTCTTCCAGAAGCTTCCTGGGCAGATTGCACCCTTCCAGCGTCAGGGAGAGTCCAACCTGAGGAAAGAGGGAGACAGCTTCTGTTGGTTGATTTCATTAGCTGGGAGATATGAGATGCAACTCCAGCTACTGACCTCATTGTAGCATTTTCATGGGTCAGTCTCACCTAAGCATCAAGTTGCTCAAGTCTCTCTTGCTATCTTTTTTATTGTTCATTAGAAATCTGGAGATTTTATGAGATGGGCCATCACAAAGGATTTATGAGCAGAGCCCCCTGATTCTGTGAAATGAACTCAAGCACCCCAGTACTCAGGGCAGACAAGTGAGCACATCAAAGCAATGAGGTGTGAGAGTTCCAACAACAATGTGGTCTAAAGCATAGAGAACTTCAGAACCCAATAACCGGTTCTTTCATGGATTGGTACACAGGGACCACAGGAGAGGTTTCAGAGCAGTGACCTGTGTGCCGGGTTTTAAAAGATCAACAGAGCTTCTCAGGTGGTCAAGAAGACAGGAGACAGCCCTTATCCTCCTATCAGCTGAAAGTGCCTGTGTATTTCGACCACACATTGCCTTATAGTGTTGGCAAATCGGTCCCAACTAGGGAGGGAAAGGAGATGACCTTTCCCCCATGGGTCCCAGGAGCCAGGGTTTAAAGGGTTTCCATGCTGTGATGATAACACTGGCCTCTATCTTAGAGTCAATGGCTTGCTCAATTCAGTCAAATGACCAGTACCAGTTCGTGCATCTAATGAAAAAGCACAAGAAAACCAACATTTGAGGGTGGGGGCGCAGTGGATTTTTAATTCTGTTGTCGATTATGGGAACAGTTACAGCTGAAAGTATTTAAGCAATCCCAATTTGGAATCATGTGATCATGATTTTATAGGAAAGTTCTAGACTTATACAGAGCTGGCCCTTGAATGAGAAGTCCATAGAGTACTTGGCAACATGTAAAACATAAAAGTTTTTCTCTCATCCTCCTGCCAGCTGAATAAGGGAGGTGGAGATGTACCCGGGGACCCGAGGCCTGAAAAAGAGAGGTGATGGACACATTCCCTTGTTTTCTGTGTCTTCCAGCTGGACCTTCAGTGGGTGCAGGTTCTGAGTGAAGGCTGGGCCACGCCCCTCAAAGGTTTCATGCGGGAGAAGGAGTACTTGCAGACGCTACATTTCGACACTCTGCTGGATGGTATGTTTTGTATTGTCTCTTACTGCTTATCATTAAAGGAAAGAGTGCTTCTCTCAGAAGTCTGCACATACACAGGACTGCTAACCTTGTTTGAAGATCCTGTTGTGAGAATATTTACATTGTTCAGTGTGTCCCTTCTACTGGGTCTGTTTTCCATTTTTAGGATTTCTGTTTTTCATCCTCAAAGGATTTATTATTTAAAACCAAGCTTCTGAGAAATGAAGGCTTTACTTGTACATGAAGCCAAAAAACAGTAACAGCTCTGAGCCTCCACGTCCTTTGCTGGGTCCGTATTCGGAGGCGCCCTTTGGGAGCATCCGGGAATCACAGTTTGCTGGTTTGTGCACAGTACTGCATTCCTTGACGGCTGCTGAAGTGTCAGCGCTTGAGCCCTCCCCTGACATACATGAAGATGGCTCCATCTTCTAAACCCCAACAAGGGAATGTGATAGTAACTTTCACAGGCCAATGGCTTTGGAAAAAAAGACTGATCTGGCCCAGGTCAGAAGCAAGTGCCAAATTATTCAGAAAAATTCCAGGCCACTCTCTAAGTATGTCCTTCCCGGAATCCTCTAAGGGCCCTAGACATGGGTTCTCTATTTCAAGAGCATGGGGAAAGAGCTGCTAAGTGGGAAAGACATACTGCAGAATCACACTGAACGTATAGTCCTGGGCAAGGCTTCAGGCCTAGTAGGAGGTGTTTAGAAAGATACTCCCGGGCCTGTGCTGCTGCCTAGGGAATGGCCTAGAAGTAGAATGCTAAGACAGACCAGCACTCACCTTAATTCCTCTGCTGTAACTGAGCACGCCCCACAACCCGAAGCCTTTGTTTCTCAGATTAAGTAGCATTCCAAACCCACACATTGTTTAAGTCTAGCTTGCAGCAACAGACACTGTTTCTTTTGATTTTTATAAAACCCACAGAAATGATCCCCTTCTCAGATGAGGAAAATGAGCCCAGGATAAATGACTTGCTTATTCGTGAGGCCCCAAGACCAGAGTCAAGACTCCTATCTGATACCCCTTCTATACCAGGCTACTCTCCCGATGTCCTTTGCAACGGACTGTAGGTGGCCATGATGCCTAAACAAGGAAATAAGGCATTCATCTTGACAACTTAATTTTGACACATGGTAAACACAGTTGCATCAAGGACACGTTGGACTCAGCAGCCAGCCATATCAGAGAGGTTGACTGTGAGTGAGCATCCAGGCTGCAGGCGTGGCCACCGGACAGGGGAACCACACTGAAGAGGAGGATTCATTCCAAAGAGTGCATTGTACAGGACTTGCTTCATAAAGAAAAATGCCCGAGTGGCAGCCAGGGTTCCTGGGGGCAGTGCCAGTGGAGGTAGAGGGTCCTCAGCCCGAGATCCAGGACTGTAGGGCAGGGAAGCAAAGTCATCTTACGTCTTGTGTTTTGAGAAAGGGGCAAAAGGAAAGGTTCCTGGGTTTAGTTTGCAGCTTTTGCTAGATCCATCAAGGACTCTGACTCCAGAAGAGTAAGCATTCCAGATATAGCCAATCCTTCTAGATGATTTAGGCAATAGCTCTCTGCTTTCTCTCTTATCATTTCCATTTCATTTCTTTACCATTTCCCGTAAAGGCCCCAACTTGATCCTATTACTACTCGAGTCCACTAGCTCCAAGCCCCTACCTGTTTGTACATCCTCAGTTCTTTGCAAAACTTAAACCCAAGTGTTTGTAGGAACCCATGGGGTGTGTTTCCTGTGTCCCCCACATTAAGTCCAAAACTACATGCTACTTGCTGTGTGGATCTCTGCATTCAACAGACACCAAAGTTCCCAGCACCAGTCTCTGGGTAGGAAACTCTTCAGTACCTTTGGGTTAGATGAGGACTCCCTAGAGGTTGATTCTGCCTTGTGTAAATACTCTCGTAATCTACACAGATTGCTTTATCCCAAGGCTCCAGTGTTAAACTGTGTTCAAGGTTGGATGCTTGTTTAGTTCCCATAAACCCATGTAGGATATTTCTGAGAATTTCTATGAGACTCTATTTATTCTTACCAGAATTCTCTGTTGTCTGAGACTCTATGAGTCCACTGGGCACACTACACAGACCAGGATTCAAAGATCTACATGGCTCCCAAAACCTCCTCAGCTCTTATGTAAACTAACTGATAAATAGTAGCACACGGAATTCAGCAGTTAGGAGCACTGACTGCTCTTCCAGAGGACCCATTTCCTAGCACCTACCTGGCAGCTTAAAACCATCTTCAACTCCAGTTCCAGGGAACCTGACACCCTTCTTCTGGCCTTCATGGGCACAGCACATGGGCACAGCCCATGTGGTGCACATGCCTGCAAGGAAAACACTCATACACAGGAACCAAAAAGTTAAATTAAAAAAAATAGAGGGCACAGGCCTGTAATTCAAGCTATTTTGGAGGATGAAACAGGAAGATCACAAGTTCAAAGACTGTCTAGACAAGTTAGTGAGATCCTCAAATAAAGAGGGGTGGGGAGGGCAGGGCCAGGGACATGGGGCTCTGTGGTAGTGCACCTACCTAGCATGGGTGAGGCCCTGAGTTCAATGTCCAGATATCATGGCTATCTCTCAGTTAGTTAGTTATCTCTCTCTAGTTAGTTTGGCCTAACTAGACGTAGGATGTAATCGTGGGTGAGGGTGTGAGCTGGGCAGCCAAACTGGCTGCAGTGATTAGCTGTGAACCTACCAAACTGCTTCATCTCACCGGGCTTAGGTGGTTCACCTGTATGATGGAGATGATGATGACAGTGCTTGCCTCCCTGGGAAAATGAACATGTAAGAAAAAACAGCCGGTCCAGCCGTGAAGTTCAATACATGTTAGCTAGGAACAAAACCAGCCCCTGCTACAGACAGTTTTAAGAGGGCTTAGAAACTGGAAATGGCTTATCTGGAGTCAAATCAGCTCACATCAGCCAAGATAAGGTCATTAGCTAGCAACAGCTCTTTCATAGAGAGACTGCTTCATGTGAGACGGTTCATGAAGGCTGCAGTCACTGACGCTGAAACGTTTGCACTGTGCTGCATCTACACAGCCGCACAGCCACACCTTTCCGCCGTCAGACTGTCAATCTTTTGGTTGCTTAGGATCTGCAAGTAACAGACTTCATTCTCGCCCTGTCTCCTGCAAAGCTTTTTGTTAGTTTGTTAATTTTCTTAAAAGTTCCCATTTTACCCTGACTCTAAAAATATAATTTGGTTTAGTACAAAACCAAAACAAAATAACTCCCCAAAGCGATTACTCATTACTATTTTCACATCCTTGTCGTCTGTCGCTTTATCTCTCACTGGAAATGTCATTTCAGGGCTGCCACAGACCCTCCTGGCCTAAATGTCACATATGAGGCGAGGTGGAATGAAGACAACTCCATTATTCTTCATCAGCTAACCTTCCAAGACAGGGACGAGGGTCCCCACATATACCTGCAGGGCTTCCTAAGCACCCACGACCGACCGCAGTTTAGTGTAGGTTACCCCGTTTAGTGTGCATGAGGAGGTTTAGCTCTCGTGAGGCAGTGAGTGTTAGAAAGGGCGGGGATCCCACCTGAAGCTGGCATTCGAATTTAGGTTCTGGTCATTCAGCACTTGTACTTATTTTCCTGGGTACACACGGTCAGGGCCTCCAGACATTGGGGCTTCTACAACCTAGGGCTTTTTTGTGTCTACACCGATTCCCAGCGTCCGGCTTGGAAGCCATTTGGCAGGCTTGCTGAAATTAAAAGAGTGACTAACGCGTTATAATTATCTCAAACGGATAATCCTTTGAACAATGTTTTTAGAGCGGACTGAGTAATATTCCACAAAAAAATGGTATTATCATATATTTGGTGCCATGTGTTTATTTAAAAAAATAGCATAAGAAGAGCTGAAAATATTTTCATGTTGTCTATGCAAAGTGTCATAATAGGAACTTGTCCCTCGGCATGGTTACGTCAAGATTCTCATGGTAGAGAGCTGAAAGCATGTTTCTTGTGTTTGCATTTCTCTAGGCATGGCCCACCATGGTATGTACTTCACTTTCCAAGTAGTCAAATTTCTGTAATTAGATATGTTACTTAATTTTTAAGAAATTATTAGAATATAATTTTTTTAAATCTAAATTAACAAGTTGGAATTGGTCAGTTCATAATCCAACCAGTTATAGCAAAACTACACCATCTGTTTATTCAAACACAAACAACAGGAAATTTCCTGATCAGGTGAAACTATTGTTTGTTGTGTTGAACTTGGCTGACATAAGCAAACTTGTTTCTAAATTATCATTGCATGTTTTGTTCCCAAATTCTTTTAATGATTTCTGGTCTCCTTATCATTTCAGAAGTTTGAAAAATTAAAATATTCCGTCACACTTACAAAACCTTTTTAAGTCAGTGAAGAAATTCATTTTATACTCAATTTAAAGGAAACGTATCTGGTTGGACTGTGTATGATCATTCCCTGTTTGTTTGCAGTGTATGATTATGCATGGACTTAATTGCAAGCTATCATAATTGATAGCCACAGAAGTGAAAAGAAATATACTTTTACCTGGACCGTAAATTTCACCATTGAACAAGAATGAAGTAAAATCCCCAAAACATCATTTATTTCAGAGATTATTTTTATCATTTTTTTCTTTTAAAAAGTCAAATTATGCAATAAAGGTTAATTTTATCCTTTGGAAAGAATAAGCAGATCTACTATGCTAAAGAGAAAATGCTTGGTAATTGTTTAAAGCAAAAGAAAAATTATTCTATTAGACAGGAAATTATCTGTTGGATTTTTCCTATGTTTAAAAACAACAATAGTCTTCCAAATTCAGATAAAGAATAATGAAATAACCAAGGCAGCTCTCAACAGAGCTGAAGCACTAGAAAGGAAAGGCCAAAGGCTCAGGGAATGTTTGAAGCCACAGATGATGCTCAGCACAGCTCAACTGTTGTCTATGTTTATGTATCCAAAAACTAGAGGGGCTGGAGAGGTGGCTTAACATTGAAGAGGACTCATTGTTCTCCCAGAGGACCAGGTCCCAGCAGCCACATGGGAGCTAACAACCAAGTACTAACTCCAGCTTCAGAGAACCTGACTCCCTCATCTGGCCTCCTTGGGCACTGCTCATACATCGAATACAGACACACATGCAGGCAAAGCACCCATACACATAAAATATATATATATATATATATATATATATTTTTTTTTAAAGTAGAGAAGAGGCTGTAGACATGAGTGAGTGGTTAGGAGCATGTTCTGCTCTTGCAGAGGGTAGGAGCTGGGGTCCGGAACCTGTGATGGGCAGCTCACAGCCGACACTCGCACTCACCCTACACAGATACACGTACTTTAAAAATACATCTCTTAAGACAAAGTAGAGGAAAGGCTGGGACTGTAATTAGGGTGGAGCCCTTGTCTCCCGTGCACGAAGCCCTGAGTTCAATCCCCGCCACCGCCAAAAGCAAACGAGCAAAGCGCCAAGAGTAAGGAAGGATGCTGGGGAACCCTTGAGCATGGCCACGTCGGCGCATTTGCAATCCCAGACACGTGGGCACAGTTGTGCCCTGCCATGGGGGACCACAGGCTGAGTCTTTATCCCGACCAGTATGATCAGGAGAGTTGGTGTTCCCTGAGCTGTCTCTGCAGCTGGAAAACGAAGCGTCCTCGGGATGCTGCAGGCAGGGCCAGGCTTCTTGACACTCCCTTTGACCTTTGCTCCAGTTTCGCCAAGGCTCTGAAAGCTGAACCGAGCTTACGGCCTCTGTCTCAGTAAGCAGCCCACGGAGAGCATGTCTGAATGTGTGGCTCTCTGCTCCCGCCCCCTTTCCTGGCGAATCTAGCTTCAGCACAGGCTTCTACAAATGCCCTACTTCACCGGCACGTGCTGTCCAGGAACCTGAGGAGGTGCCCAGTGCCGCCTCGTTTTGCATGAACTCCCCGCTTTGAGTTTGCTGTCCTCTGCTAAGGGGCTGGCTCTCCGCCTTCTCGTGAACTTTGAAATAGTTACTTTGACAAGACCTTCCTGCGTGGTATCTGATTTGCAATCTGAAAAGGCGTCCACTGTATACTGCAGGCTGTTATGGCCGACTGGATAACTTTATTGCTGGCAGTGGCTGCTTATAGCTGTGATGTTCTTCCAGGTCTTACTAACTTGAGAGAGCTGAAGCAGACCAAGCCGCATGACTGTAACTGGGTTTCATAGCCACAAGGCGGTTTTATGTCCCACAGGAAAACAGCACAGATCTTTACCTGTCAGAGGCATTCTAATGTATTTGCCATTTTAGGACTTCACTAACATATTTTCTTACGCCCACAAATAAAGCAAGAGGATTCTCTGCCCCTGGGGGGTTTCCTCTTTGGTTTTCCTCTCACTCTCTTCCAACCCATGACCTCACTCTGAGTCTCTCACACTGCACATTAAACTAAGGCCCTAATTTTTAATGTAAGTATATCTGAGAAAGGCAGACTAGTTAGAGCTTTGAGCACGCTTACCAAAAAAAAGAAAGAAAGAAAAGAAAAAGAAAGAGGTCATAGTCTCATAATTTTTCACATTATCTAGCATCATTAAGAAATGAGAGCCAGTTTTTATACTTGTAAGCTTCAAACTAGAAAGCAACCACATCTTTTTAACGTTTTTAATTAAATTTTTATACTTTTATATTAATTATAGTTTATTCACTTTGTATCCCAGCTGTAGCCCTCTCCCTCATTCCCTCCCTATCCCATCCTCCTTCCCTCATCTCCTCCCATACCCCTCTTCAAGTCCACTGATAGGGAAGGTCCTCCTCCCTTTCCATCTGACCCTAGTCTATCAGGTCTCATCAGGACTGGCTGCAACGTCCTCCTCTGTGGCCTGGCAAGGCTGCTCCTCCCTCAGGGGGGTAGTCTTTTTAACTATTTTATCTAAATTCTTCAAAATGTTCATAGTTATTTTGGGAGAGTGGATGGAGTTTGAGATAGTCTCAAATAGCCCAGGCTGGCTTCAAACTCACTGTTATAGTCTAGGATGCCCTGAAGGCCTGAGCATCCTGACTCTAGTCCCACATGCTGGGATTACAGTCATGGTTATGGCACCTGGATGCTGTTGCTATGAAGACAACAGCAAACCCTTAACTGGGCCTGGTGGTACAGGCCCAGTACTTGGGAAGATCTATCAGCAGATCAAGGTCATCCTATCATGTTAGTTCTAGGTCAACCTGGGCTACAAGAGACTCTGTCTCAAAAACAAAAGAAACAAAAACAAACCCTGTGGTTTTTAGAAGATTCTTATTCACTCACAAAACACATAAGAACTGTTGGAAATGTACCTCAGTGCTACCCTGCTTGCCTAATATGTAAAAGGCATCGTGTTAAATCTACAGCTTCACCAAAACAAATACACGCCACATACACACACACACACACACACACACACACACACACACACA